AATGTTACGTTCTTGAACCTCCAAATCAGACATATACAATGAAACACCCACTTTCCGCTAGTTCATAATATGACGCCCGAATACTGAAAGGCAACTTTAAGTTGAACTCAAATATCGTGCCATCTCTGTCATTTTACAAAGAACTTGTAGTGACAGAACTACATCTACTTAAGCGCGGTTTAAAATTTAGCAGCATTTAAGAATTTCAGCACGCGTCCTTTATAAAAGGAGCATAATAATGTAAGTACCTATCTTTTATAGCACGACCGAGGCAAAACAGCACCTATCACTGAATGTTCAATACCAAAAAGTATTGTAAAGGAAAGTATTACCCAAGAATACTTTCCTTTAATACTGTCCAAATCCAATCGAACCGAAGCCTTGCCGATTAGTTTGGTCGACAAGACAGACTGTTTAACAAATGACCACAAACATACATACATGCGGTGGACACTCCCCTGTGCAAGTACCGCGTCACTTACATAACACGAGCTAATGCACTCAGCTCGACAAACACACACTGCAAATACAGTAATATACATATGACGGCGCCGCCGTCATTATTTTATAAACTGCGAATGTAATGGGCGAGCAGTGAACAAACAACTGACCGACGTCACTTCAACCAAACCACAGAGAGATATATAAAGCAAAGCAAGAGCAAGCTCGAGTCAGTCGTTCGTCGATCGTTGCCCAGTTCACACGTTACGCAATCGCTGAGTAATTTTATTGTTGGTTTTATTTGAGTGTTTCCTTTATATAATCAGTGCTGAATTATTCAATTATTATAATTAAAAATTAATGTGAAAGTAAGTTCATTTAATCGAAATAAACTAAGTGATTGTGTGAAGCCCTTTGTTTTATTTTCAAATAATGTCGGACCCTGATCCTACATCAGAAGTGGGATGGACCGGGATTATTGAAAATGTTAAAATTATCGGAGCCGGTTCGTGAAGAACTACCTACATGCAAATGCGACGAAGAAGATAGTGCTGCAAGATTGGAAGTGCTTAGCTATACATAGCTAGCTATTC